AATCAAAAAAATCCCCCAAGTGACCCCCAGGGGCCCCCCCCCCCCCCCCCAATGAAAGGCCTCATTTCATGGCTCCATCTATTCTAATCGAGGCGCGCTCATTCAATTTTGAGGATCAACAGACTCAGCTCATCCCAGGTGAACGCAAGTTGTTACTTACTTTAATACGGCAAAAAGTTTTTGAGCAGGAATTTTTTCGACTTTTCTAAAGTTAATTAAAATCTTAACTTTGTTTTGTGACTGCTGCTATCCAAGCTTTTAAATAATTCATTTAAATAAATAAATAAATAAAAATAAGAATACTTAACTTATGTTAATGTGGTTACATAGCTGCGATTTCTCACATCGCTCTGGGAAAAAATGTGTGAGAATTATTTGTCGTGTTACCTTGAAATAAATTGCATTCGATCGGGTAGGTGTAGTACCATTTACCCTTGAAATTCCATGAGCACGTCTTAATTAGTACGGATGTCGCAACCAAAAAAAGAAAAAAAAATTCCGTTTCACCCTGTTAAAAGCCAAAATTCCTCTTCGACTTTTTTTTTTTCCCCGGACGGTTTGTTTGCAATATTTTGGCCGATTGCCGGCGCCAACAGCGTAAACTTGAAGCCGTTTCGCGTCTGAAAGCAACATGGTTTGCCATGTAACACCTGGCAATTTAAGGCAATTTACAGGCAATATCGGGCAATCCGTCTCAAGACGCAATTCGAATGGGAATTTTCAACATCGAAAAAATACAGAACCCGTTTAACCGTTTCGCTAATGCCTCGTCCAAACATCGGAAAAGTACACGGAATTCCCATCGGGCGCCCATGTCCAGGATCGATCTGGGATCGATCATTTCCTGAGGAGATAATTTCCACGCGGGAAACGGATCATTTCGTTTAGCGGGGATGCGCCTACGCAATGGCGTTTCTCGATCGGGATTTTCGGGATTCAGATCACACAGAGGGTGCAGAAACGAAAACGTTGTTCGACACGGGGCCCAGCCCATCTGAGGCCTTGTCTGGTTCGATTTCTCGGACGGAAACTGGTTTTTCTTGTCCCTGGAACCTTTTTTTTTTTAGTTTTCCTCCTCGACCTCGAGGATGGGAATTTCTGCCGTGCACCGTCACGTTCCGTCCCGCAGTAATATGCATTAATATATATTTGCCGGCCGGGCGGGATCATGGAAAATGAAAGGCTTCCCGCACAATCAGAATGTGGGACCGAGGCTTTTTTTTTTTTCTCTCGTGATAACGAGGTCTACTTTTCCGAGTCGGAGTCATTATTTGTGGACGCTGGGCAGAGGGAACCCCGAGAGATGTTATCACGTCGATCATGAAAACCAGTGACGTGGACGCTTTGAGGCCTCGGGGAGGAGTGGAGGAAGGGCCAGACGGGAGGAAGGGCGGACGGGAGGAAGGACAGACCGGTTCCTCCGCTGTGGCCTGCCATCGCGATGGTTTTTTCGCGAATTTTCGCGATCCGCGAGTGGGTTGCCATTCGTGGATGGAGTCTTGGATGGATTCATGGGTGGGTTCATGAATAGATTCATGGATGGGTTCATGGATGGGTTCATGGATGGGTT